TCACAATATCATGCAAACCTGCTGTGACCTAATTGAGGTGCTAATACGAGCTATATTATCATCCAAATTGAACCACCTTCAACTACAATTAGAAGACATGTTCAAATTATAAGGTGTACAATGCTTAAGATGTTCACGATGCATAATAATAAATAAAATTTTTGGTTTTCAAGAAAACATAACTCTGGTAATAAAACCAAAATATACGGTATTTAAATTATTAATCTGGTAATTTTATATTTATATGGTGAAGATTAACTAGAAATTCTGGTTTTTAAAATTTACTGATGTAAGATAATAAGAACCACATATGAACTTTTTTTACTAACTGTGTAATTCATATTACCATATATTTAGTTAAAAAAAACTGAAAAATAAATTTAACGGAATAAATAGTTTTATGCCATGCTGTAAGGTAGTGGTTAATATTTTTTTTTGCTACGGAATTATAAATAATTAACTTTCTTCTGGAGGAATCCCAACTATATGAATAAAGTTTTAAGGTATTTGTGAACGTTATGACCTATAAAAAAGATTATTTTTAAAATATTTAATTTGCGGAATGAAATTTTTCTTATCGTTTTATTATTAATGCAAGTAAGGTCTTCAATGTTTTTTATGTCCGGCAGTTAAAATGTGAAAAAATTCCTGGTGTTCTATCTAGTCTAATTACGAATTTGCTTTTGGTTTATACATATAAGATGAACATAAAAAAATAAGACGAATATTATAAAATAAGACGAATTAGGATTTATTTCGAAATTGATTTTTTCATAATTTGTTCAATATATTGACATTGGAAATACAATAATTTTAAAAAAAAAATGCCGTTTCTATTTGATTGGCATGTTACTTGAAATAATTTCGTACTGGCAACCTAAAGATTAAAATATTAATAGTTATAAGTTGGATTAAAACTCAAGACTGTGGTTACAAAATGTAATAACTTGCGGAATCCCGTTTCTTCCCCAGAACTCTAGAGTTCCACTGAACACCATTTGGATACAGCTGATGAAAGGTATCATGATAAAATAACCAAATTTTACTACATTTATCAAATTTTATTACGTATCATAAAACTATTTTTTATTATTAATTTTGCTAAAATCATTACCAAGGCGCTTCGGTAAAAATTACCGAGGTCTTTCGTATTCCGATGGAAACAGAAACACGCTAAAATTTACCATGTTCTAGTAGTTTTGACCATACTTTTTTTCTTAGTGAAGGAGTTATATAATGGGTCAAAGTTGAGTCGGTATATTTGAGGCTAAATAACAGCAACTTGATTCGACAGAATCTATCTACAACTGTTCATATTTGTCATTAATGTCACTGATACTCTGATGATAACCCATGATCCGTCTAATACTGAGGATATTTAAAGTCAGGACTGTGGTCTGGAAAATATGGTTCCCGTTATTTATCCAGGAGAGCTTCCAGAAATTCGGGCTCTTGAATGTTAATTCTTTCTTTTTCTTTGCTTATTTCGCCTTATCTGGAGAACTTTTTAGATGAAACGAAAAATCGCTACACAAAATTATAAAATCCATTTATCCAAAGACAATTTCAAATAAAATGCAGTTTTTAATTGTTTATAATTTTTTTTATTTGGTAATGAAGGAAATAATACTAAAATGCAAAGTATATAAATTTTTAAATAATTTAAAATGAAAAAGTCCAAAACTTGAAAGAAATCGGTCTTTTTTAAGGCCTACGAACTTCAATATCTTATCTACTTCAATGTATAACCAATATCTTATGAACTTCAAGTTTTGTCTTTTTAAACTACATAGTTTAAATAATGCAAAAATTTGTGTGCTCCGCAATTCCAAAATTCTTCTGCCAAAATTTAAAAGGAAAATGATAGATAAATAATAAATTTATTTTGTACGTGTAATTATCCTTTGGTAAACCAATTTTATATCTGTGTGAGAAAAGTTTTCTATTCGCTTAAAAAGTTTCCAAAATATGAAGAAGTACAAATTTTTTTATTTTATTTTATAATCTTCGTTGAACAGTAGACCCAATTTTTGGGTTTACTACTACTAATGTTTAACTCCGTAGCCTTTGTGATTTTGAACAGAATCCAGAAGACAAGGGAACTCCTGGATCAAGTATTGGAAGAAATTTACCTTCATGGAGGCTTTTTTGATGGAACTAACCCTGCGTTACATGGGGAGGAAAACCGCGATAACCTCCAAAAGTTAGCCTAACGGCAAGGGGACTACCACTAAGGATATTTTACGTTAGCACTGTGGTTGGTGCGAGCCGGGTGAGGAATTCGTATCGAATTTCATTCCTGGGATTCGAATCCGATTCATCTCATTGGAAGGCGAACGCTCTATCCTTAAGCCACCATGATTCGAAGTACAGAAATTTAAAATTTACATAAAAGACTCTGAATTTCCGATCGCTGTCCAAACTAAACTATAACCATGTTTTTCAAACAACGTCTGACTCTCCCACCATTTCTTTTTTGATGATTAAGAATCTGAATCCATAAAAAGACGAGTTGAATGTTTTGTGTTTGTATCAGTAACTTAATTAATATTTAACTATAATAAATTATGATATTTGACGTCAACCTTTTGATGTCAAATATGGTAATCAATTCTCTATTAATCTCTCACACATTCGTATTCTTCTTTAATACTAAAACGAATGAGACCAAACCAGAGACAATCAGATTAATAGTTAAGACGTTATGAGGGCCTTATTTACGAAAAAGTCCAATTTTGTACTTGTACTTATCTACGTATCTGATATTACAATTTATAAAAATGACTCTTTGTTTCCTTCGTATTTTTCTTTGTTACTAAATCGAATGAGATTAAACACGAGTTAATAGTATAAAGAATTTAAAAGTTGCCGGAGTTTTTATGTATAAAAAGTATTACTACTATTGAAATGTAGGCATGCATAATTTTACTTTAATATCTAGAAGCTATATGAAGAAAATTTTCTAATGTAAATATTCACGCTAATTGAAGGAGACAAAACAAGTATTTTAAAAGTTATAAATAAGAGTTTATCTCATACGAAGGGAAACAAAATAGTACATTTTATGCGTTTCTATACATAAGAGACAACTCATTTGTTTGCATAAAACAAATTTGCAATTGAATTTGTGTAAATCTTCAAAATTGCATTTTTTGAACATAAATCCTTTACAACTTCTTAATTCGAACTGACTTGTGTTGGTCACATTCAATTCAAAATAAATAACTAGCTCGGAAAATATATATTATATGTTCAAATAGCTGATAAGTACCATTGTATAAAGGGTACATAAGTACTTGCCAAAAGTAATATTTATATACGTAAAAACGGCGAAGTGCAATTTTATTACTATATTTAAAAAAATATTACATAAGACATGGGTAACAAATTCATATGGAAGTCATTATTACAATAAATATAATCTTTTTCCAGTACTAACAGCTTATTAGCGTCAATAGCACATATTTTGTCTTATGATGAAGCTACTTGTTTTTAAGATCAAGTTATAAAATCATTGAGAATAATCGGTAATATTAAATGCAAAGTGCGAGAATTCAGTGCAGTAATTGCACCAAAAAGGAGAATGTTTCTTGGGAGAAATTAGTATCCAAGATATATTTTGATAGAAAGCTTTGTAACATCATTATACTTGACAAACTCTATACCCTAATCTCCTTTGCGTTCTTCCCCCATTTGAGGAAAATGGGAAGAATTGAAATTCTTCTTGACAAACAAGTGAAGCTCATTTGCCAGATTTTCAGAAATTCAATTCTCCCCCTCTAATCACTTCTTTTTCCGGAAAAAAAGGGGAAAAGTACAAAGAAGGATATCAAACATCATTTATAATTACAGAAAAAAGATTTAAATGAAAAAAAAATATTGGATGCTAATTTTTCTAAACAAAATGTCTAATTATACTGGACATTTAAATAATTAACTTCTATAAAACGTATTTTTACTTCATTGCAACTTGTTCCTCTATAATAACAACTATGATATGAGCTACATTGGATTTTTTTCCTTCAAAAAGTGATAATTCTAACTACATTTCACTTTTTTTATTATAAAATATGATGGAAACACCGAGAAGCATGACAAATCAATTTTTAACAAGTAAAACAAATTTTAATTTCTTATTTCGAAAAGTAAATATTTAATTTAATTTTTTATATTATTCAGTGATTATTAAAATTAAGATTTTCAAAAGAGATTTAAAATCACAAGTCAGTAAATGAAAGACAAATTTGGTTTAATTTCAAAGTGTTAATTAAAATGCCGAATTCTGAGTGTATTAATACCAAGCATTAACTAATTTTACAATCATTAACTATTAAATACCGAATTCTGAGTGTATAAGTTCAAATTTTCAATATATTCATATGTACTTATGCATAATGCTCTGATTAAGTTTGATGTACAGACACAAAAGAAAAAAAGATTTTGCACTCAATTTTAAATCTAAAACTCATGCAAAAATTTGATTAAAATGCTAATATACAACCAAGCATTAACTAATTTTACGTAGTAAGAAACTAGAAATGATGACTTGAAAATAGCTACTAGAATTTTATACGTATGTTATTATTATTTTTTTAAATTTAGATCATAAACAGAAACAGTTTTTATGAGCTTGTGCAATAACAAAACAAATTTTAGCAAAAAGTTGTAGCAAAAGTAGAAAGGCATTTCCTTGCAACATAATGTTTGAAGTAATCTTTAAGTCTGTGAACTTATTTATATAAGGTTTTCAAATAAAAATTTGATTTCATGAAAAAGTTCAAAAGAGAGTGAAGGTTCTGTGCAACAAAACCTTGTAAAACTTAGAGTTAGGATTTGAAGTTTTTACTATGTCTGAAGTCGGAAGAGAATGAAACTGGCACAGAAGTTTCATTTTTGAAGTCCTCTTTGACAAAAACTATTCAATAACTGATTGTTCATATTAACCTAATAAAACTTAAATATTTTGATTCCATAAATGAAAAAAATAAAAAAGACAGATGTTATCATAAACATTGTTTATTTAACAACAATATATTTTAACATATTATTCCATATACATAGCCGTACAAATGCAGATTTCTTGCCATTAACAAAATAGAGTCTGAGTTGAACTGAAAAATAAAAAAAATACAAGGTAAGTTTGACAGTGAAATAGTATGTTTTAATTACGCATAAATTATGGATTATAAGATATTATGCATTATCAAAAATAAGAAAATATAATACCGTAATAACGTATGTTAAAGGAAAAAGATAATTTATTTTTAATCAATTGATAGTTAGTCTGTTAAAAGATAAATTACGTAATTAAAAAATAAACATTTTGAATAGAAAGATGTATACGTGAAACTTTTCAAGTTAAATATGTAATTATAAATTTTAAATAAATTGTGATAAATTAAAACAAATCTCCTAATTGAATTTCTGAAAATTTTATATCTTATAAAAAAGTTAAAAAACAATTAAAAAAAGAATTCCGCAATACGTAGTTATATATTTTCATAAAAACCCTTTTAAAGAATCGATTTCAAATTTTAGATTTTGAACTTTTGCTTTTGATCTCAATAACACGCTGCATGACAAATTGTTCTACACCCTAATATTTCAGTTGTGCAAAACCAGAAAGATAATTTAAATATAATTTTTATATCAAATTTTTAGAAATTTTAAAACAATAGTCTTACTTTTTTATATGTAAAGTTTTTAATTTTCTTTTGTTATTTTCGTTTATAAAATTTCCAACTTTCAATCAGAAGATTTCTCTGTTTAGAAAAATAGATCAGTAGATAATTATTTTTCATATGCTAATTTCTTTAATGCTCCACATTATTTCATGGCTAAAATTATTTCTTTGTCATTGTTTTCCTTTATCAATGTAAGACTCGGTCATCATGCGAAACAAAGCAATTTATTATAGAATTTGTTATTTTTATAACAGAAGTGAGTTTGTAATAGTTATTTAATTATATTAGGTTAAGGTTTTTCCATTATTATCCAACTCTTTCTATGATAGTTATAAAAATAACGTAACGTGTCATTATGAAGAAATGCTGTATTTTCCTAGGTATTAATTTCGCTTGATTTTTAATATTTGAAAAGTTACTCAACCATTGCATTGTTTAGAATCATAAACTCAGTTATTAATTTCAATTATTTTTATTCAGATGGAAAAATATATGAAATTGGCAATTTTTTAATAAATTTAATAGTGTTATAAATTAGAAATTTTTTTGTTCTGAGGAAGATAGTATATAAGGATTAAAATTAAAGTTTAAGACACTCAAAATAGGAATTTTTTTATTTTCCTTTGCGAAAGAGTTTCGACTTTTCCCAGACGCTGCTAGAAGGCATATTTGTTCTTAAAGTTCCAATACGTGTTTTTCAAATATTGTTCAGCCAAACAGTGGACTGAAGAAGAAGACACGGTTCCCATTAAGTCAACAAACTCAAGCATCTCTAGCTGCGATCAGTGAGAGGGTGAGGGATCACTTTGATCATCTTGCGAAGAGACCGAGGGTGCACGGCATCGGTGTTTGTTAAATTATTCTACCGGATAGTGCTCGTCAGATAACCAAAGTTGGGGAATCATCCTCTCTGCAAAGGATCGAAATTGTGAAGACATGTCTTCGGAACATCCTCAGAGGTGTTTCCCAGACGGTTGCCAATGGCCCACAATGCTACACTGTGGCTCAGGACATGGAGCACTCCGAGGTGACTCAGGTTCGTATAAATTCTAGCGTTGATTGGTTGATACGAACTCAGCTCACTACTAGCACCTAACACAATGCTAACTTAGAATATCCTCAGTGTTAGACGAATAATGGTTAGAATCCTTTCGCCGTTGCTGGTTTTTCTCTCTACATAACGTAAATGCGAATCAATTCCACCAGAAATTCCTCCACGAAGGTTAGTTTGCTCCAATGTTTGATCTAGGTGCCTGCCTCCTTGTCTTCTAGGTTGGTTTCTCAATTACAAGGCTATGGAATTGAACACTGATTGTCATAAATTCAGAATTAGGGCGACTGCTCGATGCTGGCAATAAAATAAAATAACCTAGTGTGACATAAAGAACTTCCTTACTTTGCTAGTCGAGATCCAGGGTTAGGCTTTGCTAACGGCTCCAACTTTAGCATCGCCCAAAGAAGAGGTAAATAAATTTTCGCCAAATCTATTGTATGGGTACCCTCCGAATGGGAATCCTCCATAAGGGAATCTACCTAATGGAAAACCTGCAAAAGGTGATCCAAAACCAGGAGCATTCCTGTCAACTAAACCAACTGGAGCGTTTCCGAGGGATGAGGCAAAAGATGAATATCCGGGAGGACCAGCTAGGGGTAATGTAGGTAGTATTGGCCGAATGGGTCGAGGAACCGCATAAGTAGAGGCTAAAACGGCAAAGAGAAGTACCTGCAAAATATTGTTCAATATATTCTTCATTATCACTTAAAATGCAATACAAATCAACACTGTTTTAAATTTAATTAATAAAAAATAATTATTGTGTTTAAGAAATTAATATTGTATACAGAGAAAAAATTACCGGACTGTATAGTAAAGACATTTCTGGCCAAGAACAAAAAAAAAAGAAGAAAAAAAAGGAAAAAGAAAAACGTAGTTCTTGTAATAAATCCAAACTATACAATATTTAAACCATTCATCTGGTAATTTTTCCGTCAATATGATGACGGTTTTCCGGAAATTCTGTTTTTCAGAATTATAGTTCTTATTATCACACATCTAACAATAAAAAGAAAACTGAAAAGTAAGTTTAACCGAATAGATGGTTTTCATGCCATACTCTAAGGGAATCCTTTTTTCCAACTAAATTTGATCGTAAATTATAATATTGCTTAATTTTACCAAAATTTATACAAAAGCACTTCGCAAAAAATTACCTCTTGGTATTTTCATAGAACCAGAAAGACGGTAAATTTTACCATATTTGTTTTGTTCATGCTTTTTTCTCATTGTACTCTGTTAAAAATATAAATGTAAGCTAAACTATAATATCAGCCAATTCTGCAACGATAATATGGTTCAGCATACTAAGGTGTTATGTTCATCAATATTATCGTAATTTTCAAACTTGTTTATTAGATATTATAGTTTCGATTGCTCGGTTTAATGCTTTATTAAAGCTATAGCTAAAATTAACTGTAGAATGAATCAAAACAATGATATTTCGTTTAAGAATTGAACCGATTCTTCTGACAGTTTAAGACAAAAATCTCAAGTTTAATTTCGAAGCATGACTATAGTTAAAATGTCGAGAAAGTAAAAATTTATTGTGCGATATTTTTTCAATAAAAAAGGGAGTAAACGTTAAATTATAATGTCGGTTTTGCACCATAATATATCGTGTTATTATGCTACAATCATAATAAAGTGTTAACATGAACTATATTTACTTTTAATTTCAACTATAGTATCGTAAAATCATGTTTAGTATGGTTAAAATTACACGATTGTGTGGTACAACATAGCATCTTATTAAGGTTGCTGGGAATTTGTTGCATACTCCGTTTCAGTGCTTATCATCAGTGAGTTGGTAATGTTGATTGATATGACAAATATTTTTACCTGAAAATAGTATTTATTCTCTTTTTGGGATAGAATTCTATCGAAAAATCAACGATTATATATCTTTTCTTTCGCAATGGTACAGTTAATTTAATTTGAAAAATGAAAACTTGCGATGGCTAAAAATCATTTCTCTGTTTCAAATTGTAATCAAATGAAAAAACCGGAAAAGTGTGTAAAACTTGAATGATTCAAGCTCAAAAGTTCTTAATTCCAAACTATTTTTTTTCTAATGGCAGTCACTGAACTTTTACGTTCGTTTGTCTAGGAAGGTGCCGGAAGTTTTATTCATTTAACGTTACCCAGTGGGTACCTGTGAACCTAAGTCTAAGAATATATAATACCCTCTATATTCTATTTAGATAAATATTATATTAAGATAATAATTATATAATATTTATTTAACAATTTATGGTTAGGAAATACAGCATGAAACACCTGTGTCTCTTTCTGCATTAAAGGTAAAATTCTTCCTAACATGGCTCACTTTCAAACAATAATTTTTAAAATTTACAGTTGCACTTTTGAATATGAATCAAAAAAATTTTAGCTTTGGATATTAAATTTTAGAACAAATATAATTCCGATAATCTAACAGACTTTTTTAAGTATTAATTAAACAGTTTACTATAAATAAAAAATACCAAAATATATTTTTGCTTGTAATTAGAGCAACAGAAAAAAAATATATTTATAAAAGGGACATGGGTGTCTCATAGGAAGATTAACTGATTTCAATATTTGAAAGAGAATATTAATAATAATAGTAAAAATGCTAACGAATATCAGAAGCCCTTAATAATTTACTATTACGTCTACAGTATAACTATTTGAATATACGAAGACAAATGGAAATCTGGCATGTTTTCATGCGCTTAGGAATATATAAAAAAATGTGTTAATGACCAAAATTTCTTTGATTGCATACATAGAACCAAAACGAGATTATACGGGCAAAAAGATAATTATGGGAAGTATATAGTTAGTTGGATTTACACTAAATTTAACGACGATTGATGAATAGTAAACAAAAAAAAAATAATTAAGTAAATTATATTGGACCTATTCAAATATTTGACCGGAATATTTAATATGATTTAAAAAGATTGTAATAGAAATGACTATAACAGAGAGCCATAATACTTAAAACTAAAAAAAAAATTAGTTACCAATAATTTCATGATTAAATAGAGGCAGAAAGGTTGACCTGTCAGATTATGCCGTGAAATAAGTCCGACTGTGTTTATTATACAGTGCTCCTGTTTTAAAATACCACTGTCTGGTTTTAATATCAATTGTTTTTCAAACAAAAATAACATTTGATGACCATTAGTCTTTTGCATATGCAACAGTAATTAGACTCGGTATATACTAGTATAAAGTTTAGACGTCGAAGAATGCCAAATATGGCAAGTGGTCAAACGTTAGAAAAAATATAATCAGTATTTTAGGGACGCAAATTTGTTTTGATTGTATGCATAGAATCGAAACCAAATTGTATAGGTAAAAAAGATGATTATAAATATAGTTATATTTCGATGAAGACTCAATTTTTTAAAATGTTGATTGGGGAAAAGTTATCTGACAGAGTAAAATAAATTAGACCTATTGATATATGCTAAAGTGATAATAGTGAAAATGGTAAACAATATCACCAAACCATAATGCTTAAATTTAAGAAAAATTAGTTACCAAGAATTTCATGATTGACGATAGGAAGAAAGATTCAACTGTCAGACTATGCTGTGAAAGGTTTTGTTGATAAGTTATAACAGTATGTCCAGGTTTTTATAACGCTGGTGTTTTGAAATACCATCGTCTGGCTTTAATATCAATAGTTGAACAAACAAAAATAACATTTGTTGACCATTGGACATTTGCATATGCAGCAATCATTAGACTACAAGTTCAGACGGCGAAGTATGCTAAATATTTTTAACTAAAAATGAAACGATTATAATGATTGTCGATAAACGCAACTAAAACATATGTTTATGCTGCGTTAGAGAAATTTAGGAACACAAATTTAATTTGATTGCGTATATAGAACCGAAAAAATATTAAAAAATATAATTAAATATAGAAAATATAATTATATATCAATATCGACTCTATTTTTTAAAATGTAGATTGTAGAAAAATTATCTGAAAGAGTAAGTTAAATTTGACCGATTCAAATGTTCGTTGTGAAAATTGAATAAGCTAAAATGATAGTAACTGAAATGGAAAGCAATATTAGCAGCCCCATAAGGCTTAAATTGAAGAAGAAAAAAAAAGTTAGTTACCAAGAATTTCATGATTGAAGAGAGGAGGAAAGATTGGGCTCCAAGGCTACTGTGAAAGGTTTAGTTGATAAGTTCGAACAATATGCCGAGGTTTATATAGTGCTGGTGATTTGAAATACTGTTGTCTTTTTTAATGTCAATTTTTGTTCCAGACAAACAGAACATTCGATATTCAGTAAACTTTTGCATAAGCAGCAGTAATTAGACAATAAGTGTAGACATCGAACTATCCTTATTAGTTTCAATTGAAAATAAAATGATTTCAAACTTTGATGAAAATAGAGCACGTGTCGAGCGTTGGAAAAAAATAAAAAAAATATTCAAGGAACAAAAATGTGCGAGAATTTTTGTTAAAATTCTGGGAAACTGCATTTGCTAAATATTGAAATCTTTTAGTAAAAAATGTAATTATAAAAGTGAACTTACAAATTCATTTTATATATGTTAGCAGAATTATACAAATAAGTAATATAGTTAGAATATATGTGTTTTTTATATGTTTATGAACGTTCTGTTTAAAGTTAATATTTTTCAAAAAAAGCTAAAATCACATTGCTAACAAATATGCATTATAATTATTAGAATTTTATTTATGCACATTTTGTTAATGTGTTAATGGTAACGAAATAAATGATTACCAGAATTTGAAAAATAGTCAACTGTACTTGTGTATTAATAAGTGTTGATCTTTTTAGATACACTATTTTGAGTAACTACAATGCTTTACTTCCTGATCGCTCTGCTCACCAACCCTCATAATTTCTTCTTATTAATTATTATTTTTTCCTTTTTTGTTACAAGTCGACAATTTAAAAAAAAAAAAAACTAAGATTGTTTTGTTAATATAAATTATAATATATTATAAAAAAAAAATTTCTAATATGTTAATCTCAAGTAAAAGAATGATTACTTTTATTTGATAAACGTCACTTGAAAAAAATTTAAACTTGGGAAAATTGAATGTGTGTAAAAATAAGAAGAAATAAAAGAGTACTGGTTGTACTCGTTAACGATTCATAACAACAATCTTGTCATATTATCTCTTCAAATAAGAAACAGTTTTTATCTCTTTTCATCGATTCATAACAACAATCTTGTCATATTATCACTTCACATAAGAAACAGTTTTTATCTCTTTTTATCGATTCATAACAACAATCTTGTCATATTATTTCTTCAAATAAGAAACAGTTTTTATCTCTTTTTATCGATTCATAACAACAATCTTGTCACATTATCACTTCACATACGAAACAGTTTTTATCGATTCATAACAACAATCTTGTCATATTATCTCTTCAAATAAGAAACAGTTTTTTTTTATCTCATTTGAACAAGGTTTTTTTTTTCGAAATTTTAATAAAAATGTTAAGATCTGGCATTATCTAATCTCTCTCTTCTATAATGACTTTTGAACATCGATCAATTCGACAGCGAGCAAATAAAATAAAGTTCTCGAGAGAGATAAATAAAAATTTTCTACAGCTTTGGAAAAACAAAGTCATTATGTAAAGCACAAAAAGTGGTAAAAAAGCACTCAGCAATAATTTTCGAAAAAACTTGATTTAAAAAAGAGCTCCTGTTAAGTTCACAAATAAAAATAATCCATTCAGCACGTAAAAAACTTCAACTCCTTAGTTGCATTTCTGCGGGCTACAGAGCAATACTTAATTAAAATTGCATTTATTTTCGAACAAATTGGAATTTTGAAAAATAAATTGTGTTTTCTTCCTAAAAAAAATGGACCTTTCAAGCAAGATATTTGATAAATTAAATACGAAAAATATTAAGAAAGAGGAAAATATCGTAGTATATTCTATATTCCCGTACAACTTAAAAGAGGAGGAGAGGGAAGGTTAAGACATGAAACCGGACTTCTCTCCAGATAGCGTATTCCATCGTTGCGTAGCGAATAGTAATACAGATATGTAACCACTATCGAGACCGAAACGAGTATAGGTTATAATAAAAATTTTACCATTTTGTGATTTGAAAAAGCCATTTTTGACGGTGTTTTTAATGATATGTAACTTTATCACAAAGAATAATTCTCGTAATTTAATATTACTTGAAAATTTCATTAAAAATCTTTCAATCGCATTCATATCAACTTTCAAATCCAAACTCAAAATGAGTACCATCCATGGCAAGGCAGAGTATCCAATAGTCTAAGACAGCAATTTCCTATATTTTTCGGCTGTTGAACACTAAATTATTGAGCTTTTTAATTGAAAACCTGCATCATTATATATACATATTTTATTTTATTACCGTCGCTGAACAGCCGACCCAATTTTGAGTTTACGGATAAATGGCAGGAATTACGGTTACACAGCCTTGTAATTTTGGATCGGATTCGGAAGACAAGGGAGCTCCGGGTCAATTATCGGAAGAAATTTGCCTTCGTGGAGGACTTTTTGATGGAACAAGGAGTGGAACATCTACGTAACAAAGAGTGGAAAACCACGAAAACATTCGACGGTTACTCAAACCCATGATCAGTCTACCATGGAGGATATTTTACGTCAGCCCTGTGGTTGGTGCGAGCCGGATGCGGAATTCGAACCCGTGTCACCTCATGGGAGGAGACGGCTTATCTCCTAAGCTTCATTCATTATACAGTACAGAACCCGTTATCCGGAAATCAGAAAACCAAAAAACCGGAACGAAATTCGATACATTTTCCCGCCATTTCTTTAAAAAAAATTTTTTTTCCTCATAAGATTTTTCTTTCTTTTTTGAAAGATGTTTACCTTACCATCATTTTGGAAATAATCATTAGTGTATTACTCCATCGTTTTTTCTTCTTTTTAAGAATATTTCTCAAAAAAAATTTTTTTTTTAGTTGGGTTTAACAATAAAAAAAACGGCTTTTTGTAGCGATTCAGAAAACCGGAAAAATCAGTTATCCGGAATAGCGATGGTCCCGCCGATCGTTCCGGATAATCGGTTCCCTACTGTATATATATAAAATAATTTATTACCAGCTGTAAATATACAAATTAAAAAAATAGCAATTAATTTGAAAATGTTAAACGTGAAGAGTGAAATACGCTGATGTATAATTACAAAGGACAGATAATAGCAACCGCGAAATTGAATGCAGAAAAATGTGAATATTAGCATAAGAGCGAGATACAGTAAGACGCGAGTTTTGTATGCATATTTTGGGCAGTCGATCTGGTTTGTCACATGACAGCTCTGATAAGAGATTTCACGCGACATGTCATGGATAGTCACTGTCTAGGATATTTAACGCCTCGTATGATCAGCACTTTCTCCAGATCTGAATTTCATTGTAAATGTGCGGGATGCTTTGGGGAGGAGTATTGCTGATCGAGAATGCCCTGCAATAAACAAGATCACCCACATCCGTGCGCTGAGAGAGGAATAGGACAAATTGCCTCAACAGCTACTGAATACTGTTGTGCAAAGCATGCCACTACGTCTAGAAACTTGAATCGCTCTCCATGGTGATCATACCTTATACTGACATCTTACTCCAGGATGCTTACAAATGGTACCTACAGGGGCCGGGATAGCCTGGTTGATAGGGCACTGGGCCCATGCGCAAGAGGTCGTGGGTTCGATCCCCGCTGACCGAAGACTCTCCGTGTGGCAGATGGTGACTGATGCACGTTAAATCTGTCGAGTCGCAAAGTCCTCCATGTTCCCATCAGAAATCAATTGGGAACCAGGAGTTTCCTTGTCTTCTGGATGGGTTCAAAATTACAAGGCTACGGAGTTGAACAGTAGTAGTTTTAAATCCAAAAATTGGGTAGACTGTTCAACGACGGATATAAAATAAATGGTACATTTGTTTTTAATTTTCAACACAAAACTGCTATTTTGTTCCTTGAGCACATTTCAAATCTTCCGCCACCCTCTCAGAACACAATAAATTAACTTTTTTTTTAAATGATCTAACATTCTTTTATTTCACTTGGCATTTAATCACGCTTAATTTTGTGATCCGTGTTTAGCAATTTTCCAGCAGTGAATTTGAAATTATAAATTTGTTCTGTAATGACTGTAATCAATTGTGTGCTGAAAAGAATAAAAATAGCTGAATCATGGTTTAAAAAAACTGTTATAAGCGTTGAGAGTATTTGTAAGAAAAACATAATTCCCTATTCTTGTATTGGGTTATATTTTTAGAATCGAAAAGCTTCAGGAATTTTTATAATTTTTTTAGAATTTTTCATAAACTTCATATCCATCTCAAAATTTATACATTTCTTTTTTTAATTTACAACTTTTTTATTGACATTTTACACAAATAATTTTAATAAACAATCAAAATATTATATAAATTATGGATTGGATATAAATGTAATTATCAATGGTTTAAAAAAATTCCAAAGTTCGGAACCCATGTGATCATTCTATAGAACCCTAGGATTCCGTAGAACGTGTTTTGGGAACTGCTGGTCTAAGATTCAACATACGGATTTCCAAGGACACCATACTGTACCTAAAATCAATTTTCCTTATTATAAAAGAATTTTTTTTTCCGAAGTGTATAGTATTAATAAACAAACACGTGCAATGAATTTCTAAAAAACATTTCTGTGGTATTTAAAATATTACATTAAATTTAAAAAAAGTTGGTCTATAGAATTGACTTATTTTTTTTGAAAAATAAAGATTGTAACTCTTAGAATAACTTTTGAATTAAAAATCAAAGGCAGATACTAAAGTACTATCTTCATGATTAGAGGATTCCTTGTAAGCTAATTAGTGCAGACGATAATTTAAGCTAGGGAATCAGATTGAAAAACGCTCTCTTAAACGCAATAACATACCCTTTTTAGGCCGAATTTGAATTTTTGGTAATTTAAATATTTAATTAGCCCCAAAGGTTTAGTTAGAACAGTCTAAAGTGTGGACTTTATGTAATTTTTACTTTTCGCATGACTGTAACTAATTGCTGGAATCAAAAGGCTTTTGCCCACATCTGTATAACTAACAATTTCAAAAATAATATTTTGAAAGAAAAAAAAACTATTTAATAATCATTTTAATGATGATTGAAACCATTTTGAGTTGTACGACATTGGTTTTTTCCTCCTCTTAAATAATAAAATGAAAAAAATCTAAAACACCCACTTTACTATGCCAAAGCTTAGAGATCAATACAAGTTTGGTACCAAAGCTTTTCAATTTAAACAATTAAAATCAGAGATAAGGTGAAATACGAAAAAAAAAGACTCACATTTATACAGTGGGTGATCGGTTAACGAACACTTTCACGAAAGATTTTTGTGTTCGGATAACGAACACATATTCGGATAACGAACACTTTCAAGAAAGATTTTTTGTGTTTGGACAACGAACACATATTCGGATAATGAACAAAACGAATTCTAACGAACACTTCTCGGCCTGAAAAAAAATTTATATTAAACATTTGCTATCATTTTGCATACAAAATAAGATTACTGAAAGGAGAAATGTTTAAAGCATGCTTAGTATATTGATAATTACTAAATGAAACTTAAATTACGGAGAATGAAGGAGTACAATGAAGGTGTAACGAAAATCACATCTGCGAAGCAAAGAAGTGCCATCCATAATAAAATGGAAAGGTTGCTTTTAGTTTGGTTAAATGAACGGGAAATGAAACGAGATGTAACTAGTATGCCTATCATTCAAGAGAAGGCTAGAAAATTTTTTGAGAAATTGAAAGAGCGAACTCCAGGTTCGTCATCCGAGGAGTTAGAATTCAAGGCTACCACTGGCTGGTTTACAAAGTTTAAAAGAAGGTCTGGAATTAAACATGTATTAATGCATGGTGAGTCTGCTAGTGCAGATAAAGAAGCAGCTGAAAAGTACTGTCTAAAATTTCAAGAATTCATTGAAACCGAAGGGTATCGTCCACAACAAATATTTAATTGTGATGAAACTGGTTTGTTTTGAAAGCGCATGCCGAATTCTACCTACAACACGAAAGATGAGAAAAGTGTTCCTGGGCATAAACCTATGAAAGACCGATTGACGTTACTTTTGGGAGCTAACGCTAATGGTGATATGAAGCTTAAACCACTTCTCGTTTAATACTCTGAGAATCCCAGAGCATTCAAAAAAAAAATTATTCCATAATTGAGAACAAACTGCTGTAATGTGGAGATCGAAGCAGAGGGCATGGGTCACGCAGTATCTTTTCAAAGAATGGCTAGTTTGTGCCCCGAGCATCAAGGACTACCTTGATACCAATGACTTACCGTTGAAAGCACTGCTGCTATTGGGCAATGCACCAAGACACCCAAAGGATCTTGAAGATAATTTGTTGACAGACTTTCCCTGGCTGACAGTTCAGTTTTTACCTCCTTCGCTGATTCAGCCGATGGATCAGGAGGTTATTGCGGCTTTCAAGAAATTGTACACTCGCGCGCTGTTTCGTCGGTGTTTTGAAGCAAGCCAATTCTTCTCAACAATGACTTTAAAAAAGTTTCGGAAAGAAAAATTTGACATTCTTGAAGCTATTCGTATCACTTAAAAGGCGTGGTCAGAAGTCATACAGCGACAGTTGATTTCTACTTGGCGGAAGCTGTGTCTATCCTTCGTTCAAAGAGACGGAGGTGATCAGGGAGACACCTCTGAAATTTTGACAACTGCTAGAGATCTGGAATTGGAGGTGAACGAGGATGACACAGAAGAACTCATAATGGGACATGAAGATGAACTGACGACAGAACTCCAAGAAATTTTGAACGAAGAACACCAAGAAACACAGCGAAATGTGTCTCCTTCTGAACAAGAGGAAGACGAAAGAGGACCAATGCCGACATCTGCCATTAAAGATCTTTTGAAAAGTGGGAGGATGTCAGAGCAATGATCTTAGAATGGCACCCAAACCAAGCTGATGTCAGTAGGGACGACAATGCTATTAATTACTTCCGGAAAATCCTGAAGAAGAGAGAAAAGCAATCGACATTGGACATGCTCTTCAACGCCCCATAAGCATACAATGAAAAGGACTGATTAATATGCAAGACTATATGTATGTATTATTTTTTTAAAAACTTACTAAGAAATTATTCATTTTTTAAACTTTAATTTTTTTGGGTCTCCAGAACGAATTAATCGATTTCACATAGAAGTCTATGGTGAATCGATGATAGGTTAACGAACAATTCGGATAGCGAACATAATCTCGGAACGGATTATGTTCGTTAACCGATCACCCACTGTATTTTGCATTTTTGAGACAAATTGTAATGGTTTAAATTATAAGAAAAATTAGTTTACTACATTATGAAAAATAAACAGCTATATTAAATTGAAGCATTTCATGTATCATGATTCAGCTGAACTTTTCATAACTTTTACGTCTTGATGTAATAAAGAACATAAAAATCTCATTACATATATTTTAATCATACCTAAGAAACTATTGATTGACTTTACAAGATTGAAATTAAAAGACTCAAGATGTTTTTTAATGCCTTAAATGTAGAAATGTTTTTAAATTAAATGTAGAACTTGAGACAATCTCTCTTTTTTTTATATGAAAAATTAGCAAAAAAACTAGTTAACAAGAAATCACAAAAAAATAACAGTTAATGCAAAAAAAAAAAAAACTAACAGTTAATAACTATGGAAAACAAGCTAACAATTAATAACTAGCAAAAAAATAAATAACTGTTACTAACTAATAAAAAATTGATCGAAAGAAATAATTAATCCCTTAATAAATGTGCTTTTGTAGTACATATTATTTTATTTCACATTCAAAATTATTATCACTAACTATTTAACACAGTGTAAAATAGGTAATTAAACTACTTTTAATCTAATTTTTTTCATTGTGTGCTGTCAAATTTCGAAATCGTTAAAAGTGTGCCGCAACAAAAAAAAAGTTGAGAATCACTGTTCTATACAGTTTATTATGTGAAGAACTAACATTCAAAACCTTAAAAACAAGAGTATTTAAAGAATTGTCTTAAATTAAAATACTGTAAGAATAAATATTATCTTGAAGTAAGAGTTAATAAAAATAAGGGATCATTTCCAATTTGAAAAATTAAACAGAGAATAAAAATTGATTATATTTTTTCTTTAAATTTTTCAAATCTTTCCACATTAAATAAATATATCGCATCCTGGCAAGAAAAGTGGAAAAAACAGTAATTTTGAGGTTATGTCAATAAAAAATACGTATGAAGTGCCACATCTCTAACTACCAATTTATCCAGCTGAGGGTAATTGTGTCAGTTTTCTGTCTATTTCAGAATAAGTTTTATAGTATTCTTTAGGTAGATTTTTCTCAAATGCTGCATTTTAGAGTTATAACACTATTCTTGCTGGGATGCAATATATAATGTTTTTGCTTTAACTTCAAAAATTAATAACAAGTTGTAAATGCAGTTTCTTTTTCTAGAAAAACTCATGATAAAAAATAATCAAAAAATGTTTTATTTATATAAATTCTAATTCTTTATGAATTGTGCGATATTTACAAATTATGGCTATGTACAAAATAATTTACAGAATAAATATAGAAATTATGGATAAAACTAAAATATTTTAATTGCTTTTAGGCTATTCTACTTCTTTTATTACTGCCTCTGGTAGTCATACTTAAAGTTCGTCGCTTTGATGACGTCAAAGAATTGTTCAACAACTCTTTAGCCTCAGGTAAAACAAAATTTTCGACATTTGGAGGTGGATCATCAATTAGGTAAAAAGCAATATATTCAGGTTTGATACAATAAATATTATGAGATATAAAAGGACTTAAGTCGATTTGGGATAATGTTCTCTTTTTCATATCAACAATGACATGAGATATTTTATCTAAGAATGAATTCGATGCTTCGAAAGAAATTATTTCTGCGCTTCCAGCTCCGAGAATTTTATTGTAAGTTGCTTGTTTTCCTTTGTCTTCAGCAATAATTACAACACTCCAGCCTTCGAAAGCACCTTTTCTACTGCTATCTGAACTTAGATTCAATCTCCATCTGGATGGACAGTTTGCAATTTTTCTACTCATCGCTGGCAAGTTCTGAGCAAACTCATTTGTGGCCGAACCACCCCACTCAAAATCCTCTTCCGCTAGAAACTTTTTTTGCTCTTCTGAAGCCAACAGATATCGAGGATGGAGTACCCATTTTCCTGACGCAATACTGGACAAAAGTTTTTCATTTTTCAATGGCTTCTCCATTATTAGATGCGTTGCAGTCAAATCGAAAACTTTTTCGTCTGAAACCTCCCCACCAAGATCACTAATGATTTCGATGAACTTTAACTTCTTTGGTTCTGGAATATTAGTAAACATGAACTTCTTAATTTTCAAAAACTCACTTTCAACAACACTTTTCATTTCTGCACGCTTTTCATCTTCAAAAACACTCTCTTCTTCAAATTTTTTGTCAGAAATTTGTTCCGATCTGCTCGTGCTTTCTTCTTCATATTTAGATAGATTTTCAAACTTTCTGGTGTTAGCATTCATGGCGGCAATTTTTTCCCTCTCTAACCGTCCGGTGGGATCATCCCACACAATTGGGTATGGCTGGGAAAACTGTTGAGAGCCAGAGTGTTCTTCTGTGTTAGCATTCTCTTCAACGCAAAGAGGTTTGACAAAAGAGTCCGAAACAGGTCGTGGGACTTTGCTTAAAATTTCAGTGGTTGGGCTACTGGAAACAGAACTTACAAGTCGCCTGGAATTTCGTTTCTTTTCGGATTTAGCAGCCACTAAAAGTTCTTCTAACTGCTTATTGAAGTCAGGATCTTTTTTATTTTGAGTTTTTACGTCAATAGTAATATTTTCTTTTTCTGTACTTTTTCTATTGCTACTGTTTTTGACTATAGATATTTCATTAGTAAGGGACATATTCAGTTTTAATGTGTGTGGATACAGGGTTTCATCTAAAATGCAATTTTTTTCTTGGCACGCATAAACCCATTCGGGACAAACAATTTTCTTCCCATCAGACTTAGCTTCACGGAAATCTTTAGACAGATCATTTGGCTTACCACTAAAAACAAAATGAGAGCAAGAATTATCATAAGACCATATATAATCCCCTCCTAATGAAGTGACAATTTCATTCAACTCATGCTGTAAATTATTTAGTTTTTTAGAAACACATAAAACAACATCTTTAAAAATTTTATTTTCACTCTTTATGAGCTTTTGTTCATTTACAATCTGTTCACAATCAATGTTACTATACTCAGATTCAGAACCCATTGTACAATTCAAGCCTTTCATTGCAGATGCCAGATTTTTTCCAAAAATATCTTCCACTGCAAGGCTACGCCTCCTCATACTGCGATCATTGGCAGGGGTGCTCGAATCTAATTCATTTAGTAAACCACTAATCCGAAACTTATATTTATAAGATCTGTTTAAATCTAAACTTTCATAGCTCTCATTGATAGAATTTTCTGATTTAGAGAAATGAGGGGATAAAATTTTATTAACTGTTTTCGGCAGCATAGGTGTTGAGACTCTTTCAATTGCTTTTGATAAAACAGGAGACATTTTAACCTCGGCTTGAATATTGTTTGTAGATGGCCCAGGTAATGGCTCTTGTAATTCCAGATCACTTTTTTGTAATCTGAGCTTTGGTATCGAAGTTTTTGATAAAGCAGGTGAAAATTCAACCCCTGCAGGCACGGCATTTGTAGATAGCTCAGGTAATGGCTCTTGAGGTTCCAATAAATTCTTTTGAAACTCATTGGAAAATGTTTTAGCAAGACTTCTTTTATTAATCTGAGAATTTGACGTATTTTCAGCAGGATTATCTTCACGAACAACACATTTCTTAACACAAACATCAATTAAATAGCTGTGCACAGGTGGAGCAACTCCTAGTTTTGCAGCATCTAGAACCCATTGTTTACTAACAGCGGGTATTTTCCATTTTTTAGCAGCTTCATACTTGTTGCCTTCGGGAGTTGCAACAATTAAATGAGTGTTTGACAAAATTCCTCTAGACTTATTAGCTTTTCTAACAAAATATTCCTGACAAGTTGCTCCCATTACTTCAGCTAAGTGCATTAAGCAGTCCCTCTCAGTTCCAGTATACTGACTAACAGATATTACATACGATACAAATGGTTTTTGGCCTGCGTGTATCGCTACTGGGGAAAATAATTCATTTTCTTCAAAATCGTAAATTCTGCTGTCTTCAAGGCATTTTTGAAGCCAACAGTTCGTAATTATGTTTGAAGCTTGCAGCTCATACTCGTGCTTAATAATAGGAACTATGGCAATATCAGCAACAATAGAGCTATGTGGAGAGAGAACCACTCCAGAATGACTTTCTATCATTCTACAAAGAATATCAGAATCTTTTTCCTCAAATCCAGCCACAACAAATTTAAGCCCAGAAAATAATGCAGCTACGCTTGGAGTGGGACCTTCATCTGCAAGGTCAATCACTTCAGGAACATCATATTGAGGATCAGATGTGGATGGGTCAGCATTACAAATATTTGGCTTAGATTTTGAATTATCACTGATTTTATCAGATTTTCTTTCCACGATTGAATCCTGATTTTGAGATTTATTAGGCATATACTGGTTAAAAATTTCAGTTATATTATCGGGAACAGGAGCTGCAATTTGCAGGGAACTGTAGCTGCTATTTGATGAGGCAGCTTTGCTTTTAGATTCCTCTTTTTCAGGACTAAGCATAGCTGAATCCATGAAAAGAAATGGTTTTTCATCGACTAGTTGCTCTTTGGTGCAACATTCCATTAGCCATTTAGAATTCAGAATAAATGGCTTTGTAGAGCTAGATTTAACTATGTTCATAACATCATCTGAGAGCTCATCACATACAATATGAGTAACACTATCAGTGTATTTATTAAATCTCATTCCAGCACCAGCATTGACTATTTTCTTTAATTTTTCTAGATGAGAAGGGTTGAAACCATAAAGAAAGATTTTGCAACCATCAAGAAATTGACCATTTCTTGGCAAAGTTGCTAAATCAAATTTTTCTAAGACAGAGTTTTTTAGTTGTTTTTTACTGACGATAGCAACAGATACATCACTTCTGAGAGTTTCATCTAAGTGGGAAACAATTGAAACATTGTTTATAACACTACATTCTACAGGAGGCATTTCAAAGGTTAAATCCCTATTAGGGGTTGAACGTTTTGGTTGTGCTGTCCTGCTACAATTTTCAATTTTATAAAGATTTTCATCTTTACAGTAACCTGCTTTAACACTTTCATAAATCCAATTCACATTTACACAATAAATTTTCCAAGTTTTAGCGTATTGGTATTTCTGGCCACTAGGCTCGCTTAGAACAAGATGAGTAGTTTCATGAGCTTTCAATGGAGGTAAATACGTACCCCCGTGTGTCTCAATGATGGATTGAATGGCATTTCTTTCTTCCATACTTAATTGTGAAACAGTAATCTTTAAGCCTTTGAAAACTGGACATTTGTACTTATCATAGCAACTATCAGAAGCATGAATTCGTTTATATTGACCATCTGACCAGACATCATCTACCCACTCAGGTATCATGATTGGTAAACCAAAATTTGCAGCAGCAACTTGGTATTTTTTGGACCCAACTTCACCTACAGAAATAAATAAAAAGGGGTTTTTCAAAGGAGACTCATTAACAAAACACACATCCAAGTTAAATATTTGTCACCTTAACTAGGAATATACTTTCTAATGTAGTTAATTATAACTTTTAAAATTTTTCTCAATTTGTTAAAAAATAAACAAACATACACAGTAGTTTAAATGAAAAAAAGGTAGCCATACTTGGCAACCTTTCAATCCTCATGAAAAAGACAGTATTGTCATTTAGAAAGCACAGTGGAGATATTCTTCTAATAGCAAAAGAGTACATATCCTAACTATTTGCCTGATGGCTAAGAAGAGAAATAAATTTCTAATCATCCCCTTAGCAAAATATTGTTAACTATTTAATATAATAACTGGTACACATATGCCAGTTAATGCTTAATTTTTTTTTAAAAAAGTAAAATTGATTGCCCCAATTAAAACTTTTTATTTTGCTATCCAAGTTTTGTACCATAATAAATTTCGGCAGACAGAGTAAACAGTTGTAGTACTTTAAGACTAGAAGCTGTCAAACTCTGCGAAGAGTAGAACTTGTGCTTAATAAAAAAATATAAAACAAATCTTAGGTTAAAAATTTTTTTTTTTTTTTTAATGAAAGAACAAGGAAAAATATTCAAAAAATTTAGCATCAATTGTTTATTCTCCATGCAGGGGAGATGTGTAACATAGACTGCAAAAAAAAAGGAAGTTACAATTTTGTGTATTAGTTTTTCATTAGCATTATGACAATATCTAATATATATAATTCTCTTACATGGCTCCCAAATTTTAGCTGCATTTCTTTTCCGCCGGTGGCAACAGTTTTCATTTTTAAAGAAGTACTTTGTACAACTAAATAAGATTCTTTTCACAACACTTAAATATTTACTTTATTTTCTTCATATATGTATACAGAGAACAGTCGGCAAAGAATTCTGTTAGGTTAAAAAACTTTTCGCTAAAAAAAGAACGAATTCTAAAAGAAATAAAAATTAACAACTTAAAAAATATAAATACTGTTGCCAGCCATAGAATTTTTTGAAAGTTAACTTAGCAACATAAATCAAAATGACATAGAAGCGCAACTAGATCAAAATTATGATACCCGAGCGCTTGACGTAACAAATCCTTCAAATCTATAAGTGTTGTATCGCCAAATGCCCAGATTAACAATTGTGTTTTTAAAGAAATTCTATAAAAAGTTTTAAATAAAAAAACTTCTATCCAGCTACTTCTACAAGTGCTTTTTGAAGAACTTGGCTCATTGATTAAAAATATTGTTTTAATTTTACAGTACTAACTTTACTTCTACTTACATTATTGCTATTACCCTCTTTCATTATATTTTGCAACTTCATGCTAAATTTGAGGACATTAAGTTGTTTTGTGGTTGAATACTGGCATTTAGAAATGTGTAAATAAAAAAAAAAATGTTTAGAGGTTAAGAGTTGCCTCAGAAAAATTTGAATTGTTGACACTGAATTTAATAATGGAAACAACCGTTTTTGCGAAAAATTGAATTGTATTGCTGACATCAAAACTAAAAATATTGTGTTTCAACTTAACAATACTACCTTAATTTTACTGACATTTTGAACAAAATTAAGGTTTAGAATTGCCTCGGAGAAATTTGAATTGTTAGCAATGACTTAAGCAAAAAGTTTTATTTTAACTGACAAATACTATATTATAATTTTAACTTTTTCTATGACTATACTCATTTTCTTACTCTTTTCTTTGTTTTTTATACATTTTATTTTTTTGTGATAAAATAAAAAACTTATAGTTGTTCTGCTTCTGAACACTGATGAAAACACAAAATGATGGGCTTCATCAACAATCAAAAATATATACATTTATTTTACAAATTCCATATTATTAAGGTGGCGCCCTTCAGAGAATTAAAAATACAAAATTATCTTCATCAAAGCCGATGCTTTACATCCGGCGTTCAGTGGCAGACTACTATTTCATATTGTTTTACAACACATGGCTTTAGCCCTCTGGTGGGAAAGACTTTAAAACAAAACTTACAACAGTTACTTTTCTCAACAACTGAAATTTAGAATAGTGTGATTAAGAAAAATATGTGAACTGTTTGCAATTTCAAATTAATATTGAAATGTACAGGTTTAGAATTTTCTACAGTGAAAAGTTTTCGGAACTTCAGTATTCAAAAAAGTATACAAAAGCTAGACGTTAAGAACGTATCCAATGAGCGAGCATTGGATTGCGAAGCAATCCGAAATGAAAGACGAAAGCAGTTCCGGGGGTTGGCGAGCGCCAGCGAGCAGGGGGCGAAGCCTCCTAGTATATATAAAATGTGACAAGAGAAGACTATTCGACGGTTAGTCAAAAATAATCCTATTGTGCGGATCAAAACCTTGTCCTCTTTTTATTAAATTTGCGTTTAAAACAAAATAATAAAACAACTGATTGTAGCTCTTCAACATGTGCCATTAATTTGTTTTCTTTCTTTCATGTATGTTTTTGGTTATGTGATCATTTTGGTTATGTGAGATATTTTGAATTAAATAACGACGTAAAATTGTAAATTAATAATAAAATCTCAGTAAGTTTAAATGATAACAAAGAATTTTTCTTCAATTTTTTACAATTAGAATTGGTAAAAATCAAAAAATCATTGATGTAACATTTTGTAATACAACTAAGTGAAATTGTTAAGCATCTTTTTAATGTAACTATGTGAGGAAAAAGCATTTTTTTATGTAGTAAAAGAGTTTTGAAACTTTAAACGATTAAGGTAAAATACCTTCGTAGAAAATGAAACGAAATTTTTTTAAAGAAATTAGTTGAGCAGAAATGAATTTTTAGCTACAGGGTTCATACTCAAAAAGAAGGATTTTTTCTGACTTTCCCAGTCAAGACTCCGACTTTTGTTTTCTGACTTTTCAAGCTAATTTACATAAAATTCCAGATTTTAAAAAAATGAAGCTTACATTTAATAGAAATCTAAATTATACTTACAATGAAAAATAGCACAAGAAAAGAGAAAAAGGAAAATAAAATTTATTTTTGAAGAAAATAACAAACAAATTTTATGTTTGCCCTCCCAGCAGAAATTTGGGAAATTTACAACCCTATTTCGGAGGATGGCAAATGTACCCAGAAATAGTGAGTTAACTGTAAAATGCAATTGTGCTCTATCACTGATCTTAAAACATTGCTCTTAGAATATGAAGAGAAGAGGAGTTTTAAGTTTTTTGTTTTTAAATTACGCATGTTCTATTGCTTTCTCTAATCTTCTGAAAGTCTATAAAGTAATTGTCGGTTCGGCAATTAAATTTATTATTATTTTCTTGCAAACAAAAGCTTGAAATATAAAGCTTTTGATTCGCAAAATTTGATGTGCTGAAAAATTACCTGACCATTCCAGATTTCAGGATAAAATTACAATTTTCTCTAACTTTTTTGTTGAATCTTATTTGTTCTGACATTTCCCAGATATTCCAGGAGCATACAAGGCCGGCATTCAACAAGTTGAGGAGGCAATTTAGTTACTTTTAGATCATTTGCTTTAAAATTTTTTAAACAGGAAGTAACCTTGGATACATTTCAAGCACCCAAAGCAGACACCCATTTTTCCAGATTTGCCAAATGAGTAAGACAGAAAAAAAAAAGGTATTTGAAATATGAAATACAAAGTTGGCAACGGAATTTTGTTTTTAATCAAATAATACTTTACCGCTTCACTTCTAAGGGATTATTTATTTAATTAAACTATTTACGTACATGGCTTCAAAATTTTAATTACCAATAATCAAAAAACAACAAATTGATGATGTATTCAATTTCAAATGGTTTTGCATATATTAGGCATGAATTTATTTTTTTTTCTTTCAGAAAAGATCATATGTTTCATATCAGTTTACATAAAAGAAGATATATCTTTGACAAAAGCATAATTAATAGAAATTTAGAAACATTCAAAAATATGTTTAATTCAATGGTTTAGATTAGATTAACAGAAATAAAAAATTGAACAAACATACACTAATAAAAAAAATAAACACACACAAAATATGCATTTACATAAATAGTTTTACAATTTCATACATACCAACAATTAAATGGGTAACACTTTTGGTGAAATCCTTGCTGTATAATCCACCCATCAATTCCACCTTCCGGAAAATATCTTCTCTACGAGCATTATCCATGTTTGAACAGGATACAGTAATTTTTCTCATAGATACGCTATAAACAGGATATGGACGTTTAGGCAGAACATCACCATACTGAAGACAGTAAAGAATGCAGAGAGGTCCAAGTACACGGCAGCGAATGGATTTCAAATGTTCGAATACTTCACCTTCGAATGGGTCCATAACAAATAATTTGGTTTCTTTTGAAGCGAATTTTAAACATTCTTTTGCAGGCAGCCAATTTGGTTCCATCTGATGAGAATCCACAGCATCAAATGCATCTTTTAAGTTTTCAGTTGATTCTGCAGGACTATCACCATTTAATACAAAACAAATGTCACACGTGACAGCTTCTTTAGATTGCATGATTTTTAGATCTAAAAAAGATGAAGTTCATGTAATGAGAGTATAAGAACTGGATTTTAAATATTGGTCATTAAAAAAAAAAATCAGTAGAACATCTGCATCAGATTTACATTCCTGATTTGAAGAGCTAAATGAGTAAAAGTTAAATAACATTTTAGTAAATTTTGAAGTATATAAATTGGTAAAAGAAAATAAAAATGATGTATTGCATTTCAGAGAGCATTTTAGTTTGGACACAGCTCAAAATGTGTTTTTAAGAAAATTATCAAAATTCGAAATGCATATTTAAGAAAACCGACATAGAATTTGATTAAATTTTTAAACTACTTTTATATAAATATACATATTTTTTTTTTTGAAAATTAATTAATAAAATCCAAAAATTTTTTAAAGCAATGCCATCTATTAACATAAATCACATAGTATATATCTTTTTTACAAGCAGTCTATTTTCAAAAGATATACTTTTTACAAAATTGTCAGGTGTTTTATATATATATATGTGTGTGAATACTTCTGTTTCTAAAAAGTGACAAGAATTAAAATTAAAAAAAAAGAAAAGAAAAACAGATTTATTGATTTAAATTGAATTTTTTTAAACCAACTAAAGCATATTATAAACGTTTTTTTTTACTAATTATTATTTAAAAACAATACTATAGCTAAAATAGCAATAATTTTTTTTTAAAACTAAAATGGTTAATTATTATAAAATTAACACTGGGTGAATAAAACCAGTTATTTCATTGAAGTTTAACATCTTCATGAATTTTAAAGATAGAGAGGGAACATATAAATTAGATATCCAATAAAGAGTAAATTAGTTTACAACAGAAAACATTAGTAAAAAAAATATCGTAAATTTATCCAAGACAGAACAAGTCTTTTTTCATCATTAATATATTTTAGCAAAATATTTACAGTAGAAAATCCTTACAATGCAAAGCTTGAAACCCAGGGCTTCACGTTTTATGAAAATACACTTTGAAATACACCTAACCACTTTAATCCCCGAGTCCAAGATTTTACCCTACAATTTCTGTAATTATTATAATACTTAAAAAATAAATAATATCCCTACTTCAGCTGTTCAAATTTTTGATTTAACATCCAATCAGGTAATCTTCCAATCCAATGTTAATTATTTTTGTGACAGGATGGCACTGTTTAATGATGTAATGTATACTAACTTTCAATAAGTGTCATATTCAGTTCGCTAACTTTATCAACCTTCAACTTGTTAAAAACACTAGTTCATCAACTAATATCAAGTATGCTTAGATTTTAAAATATAATCTAAATATTTACTAAAATGATAATGCCTCAATTTTTTTTGGAGTAAGTCTACAACTTCATTCACACAATATTAAGGAATATAAAAAGGTAGATGAGCACACAAAAAACAAAGATAAGCATTTATTTTCTTTGATAGCTTTTATACACTGAGTGGGATTTTTCCCACAATGCCCATTTTCTTTAACTTGCATTTTGAGTCATATTCATCTTCTTAAACATATTTTTCGAATTGAATCTATTGTATTGAGTCATATCTATTGTATCAAGCTGTATCTCAAAGCATCTAACTCACTTTACAGATATCTGGTGGTCACAATTTGATAACAACAAACGTTGAATGCTATCGTACACAAGTTATTCGATTCTTAAGAATTTAATGACATTAGCTAATTTCACTAACCAGTGGTTATTTAAATTGACAAGCAATATTTTTAACTGATGGAATAGTATTTATTTGCAATAAAATCTATTAAACTAAATTAAAATGTAAATAACTTTCAAGATGATACAATTAGAAAACCTATTTTGCTCTTGATGTGTTTAGTAGGTTAATTATAGTGGTGGCAGTCACAATATACAGAAGGTTAATATCTCTGCAAGATAAATAATAATAAAAATTGGCAGCTGTGCATTAAATGATGAGTTAATTATATTGATGACATTCACAACATACAGTAAATTAATATTTTTGCAAAATAAATAACAATTAATAATAAAAGCTGGTAGTTGTGCATTAAATAATAAGTTAATTATAGTGGTGACATACCGAAGATTAATATTTCTGAAAAATAAATAATAATATTAAAAAAAAACTAACAGTAGTACATTCAAATTGTATTAAGCTTCAGAATGAAATTTCAACCAAGTATCAACATCTTTAACTTAGGTTTTTTTTTTTTTAAAAAAAAAGAACCTAATTATTTAAAATCGATTTGATTGTAATCTTGTCTAAAATAATAAAATATAAAATGAAGTTTTGTGAAAATATAATTTCTTTACTAATTACTTAAACAAGTTCAAAAATAACAGTAAATACTTAAAAAGTTGACACATACATCAAAATTTTGTGTACATAGACTATATACAAGTTTTAAAAAGATATGCTAGACATAAAAAGCTCAAAACATAGGTTTATAAGATATTACGAATAATGTAATAAATTTCATTAAAAAAAAATTGTTAAATTTTTTGTTGTTGTTGATAAGACTATCATTTAAATTACACATCAATTTAGTTAATAACAGGACTAACATAAAAAATATGATGAATATGAACAATACTTGAAAATATCTGTCGGCTAAACTTATTCTCTAAAATGCAAACTTAAATTATAACAAATATATGAAAAAATATTTTGAAAACTAATTTTATTCATGAAAAAAATGTCATTTTTGAGATTATCCCTAAGTTTAATAAAATATCTTAAAAAGACAAATTAAGCAGATAAGTATCTTTTTAACCAAAAAAGTAACTTAGTCTTTAAGAAATTATATTTACAAAATATATAACATATAAATTTTAATCTGTTCCAATTTGAAAGGGGGAGGAGTGCAAAAGATAGATTCCCAGAATTGCATAAGACACAAACAATTTACAATAAAAGTGGTCAAGCAATGTTTACTCTAAAAAAACTATTATGCTTTTAAACTTAAACACTAAAAATAAAAAGTAGTAGATGGAGTTAAAAATAGGTTAGAATAATTACTTACTTTTGAGCACGTGCTGAGTTAGAAAATACAAATTCGTATAGACCTCTTTCTGGCCAAGATACAATTTCAAAACTAACCTGTTAAATATTTAAATAAATGTTAAAATTATAATATAAAAATTATACCAACTGTACTGTTTATCTAATAGAAACTATAGATAATTTTAAATTGGTATAGCAAACATAGATAACAATATACAAACACAGATTTATAAAATCTTGGAAAAAATAATTCAAACCAAGGGAAAAAAATTTTGAAAAAGTGGCTATTAAACAAAAAGGACATATCAATGACAATCAATGACTTATTAAAGTTGAGGAAAAAGAGGCTACTAAGAGTAAATCTGTCAATAACTAAAAATTTAAATTTTCAAGTCTAGTTTTTAGAATAAATTTCCTAATTACATTTTATTTTTTTATGTAATAATAGTTTCAGCAGGTAGCATTGTAGTCCATGCAGCTCAGCATCAATCAAAAGAATAATTTTGGTCTTATTCATACAAAAGTGAAAAAAGAACTTGGATTACAAAACTATTTCTTTGTAATCATATGCTTCAGAGAAAGGAGTTAAGATAAGAGTAAATAAAAATTGATTTTTATATGATAAATAAATTGATTAAGTGTTTTTTTTGTGATTGTTTTTGTATTTTTATTTAATAACCAAAATTATAGATTGGATAAATTTTAATTTTACATATTTTAATACTTTCTACTACAAAATTTTGGTTTTTAACAGCAATGGTCAAATAAAAAAAAAGAGTTTAATATCAATATAACTGAAGAACATAATGGATTGATCACTTGAAATTTAACATGCAGTAAGTTTATTTATAAATACTTCATATTTATAATAGATTAATTATCCTTACTCTAAAATTTTGGTTTTTTGACAAACGTTAAAAAGGAATTTTTGACATTGGTTAAAACCGCTAATTGTCAAAAACTTGCCAACCCTGACGAGGGTTGTACCACACACCACAGGTCACTTTATAATCATCCCAGTACTAAATCAGTGTTTAAGTTTTGGCAAAATATATGAGTATAAAAACAATAAAATAAAAAGAAATCAACTTTAAAAAATAAAAAGAAATCAGTAGGTGGGAAATCACAAAGAAATTAATTCAAGGTAAAGGTAATTTTTTTGCAGGCTAGGTAATTTCAGTTAGCAAGAAGTAAACAGTTACCAATATGGGAAAATTTCTTTTTGTTTAGACAGAGATAAAAATAATAATATTAATTGTTATTAAAGAATTTTTTTTATTTCTATTAAGAAAAATAGAACTAAATCATGTGCTTAGTAACATTTTTGACAAACTTTTTATGAGTGTTGATGCTGGCTAAAATCTAATCATGCATACATTGCATTTATTATATAGAATATCAAAATTATAGGAACGCTTCTCTTTTCTGGAATTTCTCAAGGGTCAGTTATTATTCAACAACCAACCGATTTCATAAACAAAGTAAATTTCATAAAAAAGTAACAAAAGAAGTTCTTACTAAATTGTATTTTACCATTTATTTTAATACTTGAGTTTTTTGATATTGCATGCATCTTTGGCATGTATATACATATTTCTTAACTAAATTTTTTTGCAATCAATAGAACTACATCATATCTGCAGTCTTGAATTCAAATTATCGTAAGTGATATTTATTTATGTGTAGAAGTTTCGTAAAATGAATAGAACGCTTGAGGTTACATTCGTATTTTATAAACTATTACGAGTACATAAATCCCAAGAAAATTGTAACACATTATTCGAATTTGAACTTAACAACAAATGTAAACACACAACACGACTTCAAGAGCGCGGAGTTTCATAGATAAGAGGAACCCGCAA